ATGTTATTACCGAATACTTTTTCCCAGTCAGTGGCTTCCCTTTTTACCCTACTGGAGAAGTTTTTGGATGTGCATAGGGATTTGAGTCTTAGAAGGACTCTGTTGTTTTTGTCATGTGCCATTGAGTCGCCTGCAGCTCATAGCTATCCAATACAACAGCCCTAAACTCTGCTCTATCCTCTGCCAATCTTATTGTTTCTGATACACCTATCCCTGTTACCACAGTCTCTGAATGAATCTGTTGTTGTTGTTGTTATGTGGCGTTGAGTCCCTTGCGACTCATAGCGACCCTATGTACAACAGCCCTGAACCCTCCTCTATCCTGTGCCAATCGCACTGCCTCCAACACACCCATCCCAATTACCCCAGTCACTGAATCAGTCCACCTCATAGAGGGTCTTCCCCTCCTGCGCTGTCCCTCCACCCTCCCAAGCACGATGTCCCTCTCCAAGGACCGGTCCCTCCTTACAACAAGTCCAAAGTATGTCAGACGAAGCCCCAGAATCCTTGCCTCCAAGGAACAGCCTGGTTTAACTCTTTCCAGGATGAATCTATTTGTTTTCTTAGCAGTCCATGGTACACTCAATACTCTTCTCCAGCACCACAGCTCAAAAGCGTCAATTCTCCTTCTATCCTCCCTAATCATTGTCCAACTCTCTGATTCATAACAAGTGATTGCAAAGACCATGGCCTGTATCAGACACACCTTAGTCTCCAGAGAGACACCATTGCTCCTCAGTACTTTGGAGAGGTCCCTAACAGCAGACTTTCCCATCGCAGTACATCTTTTAATTTCCTGACTGCTCGTGCCAAGAGTGTTGACTGTGGAGCCAAACAAACTAAAGCTGTGAACAATCTCAATCTCTTCACCGTCCATCCTGATGCTTCCAGTTTGCCCAGTGGTTAGAATCTTTGTCTTCTTGACATTGAGCCTCAATCCATATTGGAGGCTGCAGTCCTTGACCCTCTGCAGCACGTGCATGAGGTCCTCCTCAGTTTCCACAAGCAGGGTTGTGTCATCTGCATAACACAGACTGTTGAATGAATCTAGAGCTATAATTTATCAGCTATACAACTTCAGGAAAACAACTTAATCTTTCTTAGTTTTATTCCTCTGAAAGATGGGGGAAAATGCCTACCTCATGGGGTTGTTGAGACAATTCACTGAGACTATGCTCTGGTGGTTTAAGGTATTGTGTTGCCAACACAAAGGTATGTGGTTTGAATCCACCAGCTGTACTGCAGGAGAAAGATGGGCAGTCTCCTTCTATGTAATTTACTGCCTCTGAAAACCCGCTGCAAGGTCAGCTATGGATCTATTCCAACTAGATAGCACAAAACAAGCACATTAAATGTCAAAACCAAAAAACAACGTATTTGAATATTGTAAATAAACCAATATGAATAAAAAGAAGTGAGAACAGTGTTTGGCCCAGAGTATATCCTGAAGAAACGCCACCACACTTTATGAACTTTCAAGTACCTGAGAAAAATACTGTTTACAAGTTAGTCAGCTGTTATTTTGTTGATTCGAGTAAGTAAGTTAAGGAGATTTATATTAATATGACTACTCCAAAAGTAGGGAACTCGGAAGGCTTACTGGTAAAGAATTGTACTGCCAACATAAAGGTACATGGTTCGAATCCACCAGCTGCTCCAAGGAAGACAGATGGGCAGTCTCCTCCCATGCAACTTACTACCTCTGAAAACCTGTTGGAGGGTCAAATATGGGCTGGTTCTGACTCAGTGATACACACCACCACCACTGATTTAAAAAAAATCCTATCCTTGGTCCTTTTCTCACTAACCAGAACCTTTATCTTTTCATTGTTCTCTTGGTCCCTCTCTCATTAACCAGAGTTTTTCTGCTTGGATTCTCTTTTGATCCTCCTCTGCCCATTGGATTCCTGGCGTCCATTTGTTGTAGGCCAAGATGGTGAACTTGCATTTCATCTGCATTGGGCATGTTATCAAGATGGGTGAGTCCTTGGAATAAGACATCAAGCTGGAAAAGGTGGAAGGTCAGAGAAAGAGAGGAAGACACTCACAAGATGGATTGAAACAGTGACTCTGACAATGGACTTGAGCATGATGTGGTTCATGATGATGGTGCACAATAGGGCAAGGTTCAAAATGATTGTGGGACCACCATGAGATGTAGTTGACTCAGTGGGACTCAACAACAATAACAACAACCACTGCACATGGTGCAGAATCTAGAGAGTAGCCAGGGAGGGGTAGGGCTGGAGAGAGAGGGGGCAATGATTCTGCCTTGTCACCTTGGGCTCTTTCTTACAATGAGAAAGGTGAACAGGGCATTTAAAGACAAGTCAGAGACACCATGGTGGTTACTTTAAAAGGGAGGAAGACAGTCTCTCAGAGCGGTACAGGCTCCATGTTTTAGGCATCTTAGGGATTCGTTGAAGGTTGTGAAGTAGGAAAGAAAAGGAAGGATTTTGAAAAATGGTACATTGAGCTCTGAATTGTGCTCTCTTAAAGAAACACAAATAAGAAATTGCCTTTTATTTTGTTTGGCTGATATATTGCTGTTTTTCATTTTAAATAAAGGTGAAATTGGCATAACAAAAATATTTACCATTTTAAAGCATGGCTTTTAGAAAGGTCACAGTATTACATCTATTTAGTTTCAGTGCATTGTCATTTGTGCCAAAAGGAAGTCACACACTCAATTAGCTGTTTAATTTTAAAACAATATGTTGCTGCTGTTGTTGTTGCTTTGTGCCATCAAGTCACTTGTGACTCATAGTGACTCTATGTATAAGAGCCCTAAATGCTGCTCTATCCTGTGCCAACCTCACTGTCTCCGACACACTCATTCCCACCACCCCAATCACAGAATCGATCCATCTCATCGAGGGTCTTCCTCTCTGCACCGCCCCTCCACTCTCCCAAACATGATGTCCCTCTCCAAGGACCAGTCCCTCCTTGCAACATACCCAAAGTATGTCAGACGGAGCTTCAGAATTCTTGACTCCAAGGAGCATTCCAGCTTCACCCTCTCCCGGACAAACGTGTTTGTTTTTCTTGTAGTCCATGGTATATTAAGCACTCTTCTCCCACACCACAGCTCAAAGGCATCAATTCTCTTTCTGTCATCACTAGTCACTGTCCAACTCTCCGATGCATAGCATGTAATTGTGAAGACTATAGCCTGGATCAGGCGCACCTTAGTCTCCAGCCTGATGTCATTGCTCTTTAGTACTCTTGAAAGGTCCCTCACACCTGACTTTCCCAATGCAATTCATCTCCTGATTTCCTGGCTGCTGTTACCAAGAGAAGACATCTGCAATGTACAACTGCTCAAGGGCAAAATAGACTATTTCCTTTGGAAAGAGTTAGTTGTAGCAAGCGTGTTGTTGTTGTGTGCCTCTGAGTAGGAACCGACCTGTAGCTG